GGACAGTCCTGCAGCAGGACTGGCACCGACTGCCAGAGCACTGAGGCTCCAACAACACAGGGCTCTGCAGGACAGTGTGGAAGGGAAGGGAGAGGAGGCCAGGCAGGAGAAGGGCTGCTGCTCCCTGGCAGTGCTGCTCTGCTGGGACTCTTTTGTGGCCCTGCTCTGCACAGAGGCTCTGACCCTGCAGCTGCAGAGAAGTCAGAGAGGAAAGATGTGAGGCAAACAAGCCAATGCAGAGTTCTTTATTTGGCTTAAGCACACAGCGAGTAAAATTGCCAATTTGTACAGTCTGTGGGCCAGGCTAGAAAGGCAAACACTGATTTGAAAATGGTGTTTATATATAAAAAGATATTTTTATATATACCCTTATAAGTATCTTTATATATATAAAGATTTTTTGGTGTGAACAAATTCTCATAAAAACCACCCCTACCAGGAGTAAAAAATAGAGAAGATATGGTGGGCCTTTAATGAAATCCATAACAGGATTGGCCTTTAATGAGGAAGATAACATGCAGAATAAGGAGAGTTTATTGCTTCTGAAAAACACCCAGTTATGAGTTTCCTCATGGCATCCTTGAGCTCCCGATTCCTCAGGCTGTAGATGAAGGGGTTCAGTGCTGGAGGCACCACTGAGTACAGAACTGACACCACCAGATCCAGGGATGGGGAGGAGATGGAGGGGGGCTTCAGGTAAGCAAAGAATAACGTGTTGAGAAACAGGGAGACCACGGCCAGGTGAGGGAGACACGTGGAAAAGGCTTTGTGTCGTCCCTGCTGAGAGGGGATCCTCAGCACAGCCCTGAAGATCTGCACATAGGAGAAAACAATGAAAATGAAACAACCGAACCCTAAACACGCAATAACCACCATGAGCCCAATTTCCCTGAGGTAGCCTGAGTGTGAGCAGGAGAGCTTGAGGATGTGTGGGATTTCACAGAAGAACTGGCCCAGGGCATTGCCCTGGCACAGGGGCAGGGAAAATGTATTGACTGTGTGCAGCAGAGCAATGAGAAAGCCAGCAGCCCAGGCAGCTACTGCCATGTGGGCACAAGCTCTGCTGCCCAGGAGGGTCCCGTAGTGCAGGGGTTTGCAGATGGCAATGTAGCGGTCGTAGCACATGATGGTGAGGAGGAAATACTCTGCTCCAAGAAAGAAGACAATCAGAAAGGTTTGTGCAGCACATCCCATGTAGGAGATGGTTGTGGTGTTATGGAGGGAATTGTGCATGGCTTTGGGAACAGTGGTGCAGATGGAGCCCAGGTCTGTGAAGGAGAGGTTGAGCAGGAAGAAGCCCATGGGGGTGTGCAGGTGATGGTCACAGGCTACAGCGCTGAGGATGAGACTGTTGGCCAGGAGGGCAGCCAGGGAGATGGCCAGGAAGAGCCAGAAGTGCAGGAGCTGCAGCTCCCGCCTGTCTGCCAATGCCAGGAGGAGGAACTGGGGCATGGAGCTGCTGTTGGACATTTGCTTTTCCTTAGCACAGGGTCTGTTCAAAAAAGGAAAGGACAGGGAACAGTTAAGAAAGACCTCTGTGAAAAAGCCACTCCATTGCTGAAAGAAATCAATGTGTCAGATGTCACCAACTGCACTGCCAAGCAGTCAGTTTTGCTCTGCTGTAGGGGGACATGGAATTTTTCGGTAGAGCTCTCACAGACACAAGGAATGTCAGATGTAAGAAACCTTGAACACAAAAGTTCCATCTCTACACTAATGACTCAGAAGAGCTGGGGCTACAAAGCAGAAGCTTAATCTGAGTTTCGAATAATTGTACCTGTGTTTTCTATTTTTACCATCACACCTTGGAAAGTTCCACTGCAGGAATCCTCATTTCTATGGCCCAGCACACAGTGCCCAGCAGAGCTGCAGGGAAGGGCCCCCAGAGCTGCCTGAACGCCCCCTCCCCCAGGCCTTGGGGGCACTTGCCCCCCACTCCCTGCCCAGGGCTCTACTGCCTGGAGCTGTCCCTGCCAGCAGCTGCTTCCCTGGGCCCAGGGCCAGGCCCTGCCAATGCTGCCAGAGCCCATCCCAGCCCTGGGAACTCAACTCTGTCCTGCAGAGCCCTCCCAGCAGCACAGGGCACTGCCCAGGGGCAACTCTGGCTGGGCAGGCTCTGATGGCAATGTCAGAGCAACCCTGGGGAGGCTGGAAAAGTGACACTGATGCTGTCTATAAGACAGTTTTGATGTCTGACACTCTTGGGTTCAATCCCCTCTAATCTAACAGAGTTCAAGTGTCTGCTCCTATGCTCAGAGATTAATTTCTCTGTCTCAGTCACCACCCAGACAACCCAGAGTATAACACTGAAAGGACGGGTTCATTCTCTTTAAGGTACTCCCTGTCTGTCTGTGCCTCTTGCAAATACCTTCTGGGAAATTTCCTGCTTAGATCTGGAGCTGTGACCAGCCCTCATCCCTGCAGCCCACTGTGGAGATCAGAAGGACTCTGCCCTGCTCTGCCCTCCCAGGAGTTGTTCCTTCCCCACAGCCCTTCTCTCCCAGCCCCGTGGCAGCTCCTTGGCCGGGCTGAGAGCTGAGCCTGGCAGGCAGCAGAGTCCCTGCCCCAGCACACAGAGCCCTGGGGGCAGGACCCTGCTCTGCACCACAGCCCTGGGCACCCCTGGCTGCACCCCCACCTTCCCACCCCACAGCCAGCCCAGCCACAGGGAACCTTCTGGCCCTGGGCCTCTGAGGGGGCAGCAGCAAGTCCTGCTCTGCAGCAGCTTCTCCTGCTGCACCCCAGCAAATCCAGCAGAGCCATCCTGACAGCTCCTGCCACTGCTGCCATTTGGCAGCTGGCAGAGGTACTTGCAGGAACTCACCTGCACTGCTCTGCAGCCACAGCCTGACCATGGCAAAGGGCTGGCAAGGTTCCTGCCCTGAGCAGCTCTGCCCTGTCCTCCCACCCCAGGATCCCTTAAACCTCCTGCTCCCTTCTCCTCTCTGCCCTTGCTGCCTGCAGCTCCTGCCCTGCTCTGCCATATGGCCACTTCCCCTGCACTGCAGCAACTGGGAGTGTCCTGTTGTAAGATCCTAGAAGTTGTGGGATGTGGCAGCTTTAGGAGATGCCTCCAGGAAGGCAAGTTGAACTTTCCTACAGCCAAAGAATTCTTCCTTCAAATCCTGGGAAGGTTTCTCCTGTAGTGAGAGCTCAGTCACCTCCCAGCCCAGGCTGCCTCTCATCTCTCTGCCTTCTCTCCTGTGCCCTGGGTGCTGCAGGCAGTGCCCTCAGCCTTGCTGGGCTGTGCAGAGGAGCTGCTCACCAGCAGAGCTGTCTCTTTGAAGCTCTTCTTGCTTGCCAGGAGCTCCCTGTGTGCCAGGAGCCTGGCCCAGCTCAGCAGCACAGCAACAGCCCCAAGCAGCCCTTGCTCTGCCCCTCTGGGCTCCCTCCAGCTGTCCCTGGGGCTCCAGGGGAACCTGCTGGCACACAGCTGAAGGAAATAATGATGTTCCTTCTCTCATCTGGGCACAGACACTTCTTTCAGCAGGGTCAGTTCTCCAAACAGACACAGTTAAGTCCAAGAGCCCCCTTTTCATGTCCCATCATTAGACAGGAAACCCAGACAGTGCCCAGGAGGGATCTCCTTCACCTGCACTGAGGGAAGGGACTCAGCTGAGTCAACAGAGGTGTCTCCTTGTGGCTCTGCAGATCTGGGGCCAGAAGAACACTCAGCTCCCTCCACAACCCCCATGGGCTGGGATTCCTCCTACCCCACTTCAGTGGGCCCAAAACAGGCCCCTGCAGGTGACTCCTTGTCCCAGCTCCCATGGCAATGAATGAAGACCAAAGCCAGGAGTGACCTGCTGGGACACAAACCCCTGGTTCCTTCTGAGGGGCCAGAGGTGACCGAGATTCCTGCTGGGAACTGCAGGCTCCAATGGAGCAGTTCCTAGGGACAGGGCAGCAGCTGTGGGATCTCCTTGGAGGCTGCTGGGACATTGCTTTGGCCAACTTGAGTGGCAGAAGGGGCCCACATGTAGGACAGAGGAACCTGTCACTGTTCCTTCTGTCCAGGGCAGCCCCTAGAGGTGCTCAGGTGACCAAATGGAGTCAGGTGGCACAGGGAGAGAGGTGTCTCTCCTGTTCTTTATCAGGGTATTTTCTACATGTCCTCAGAGTACAATGGCAGTTGTCTCCTGGACATCCCTTCACTGCTGAACCTAATTGAGGGCAGCTGAGCCTTGATTGAACAGCCAAAGAGGGGCCTGTAGTGCCAGGGGAGGTGCCAGGGCTCTGCAGCACAAGTGCAGCAGCTGCCCTGGACAGCACTGGGCCTGTGCAGGAAGCCCATCCCCATTCCCAGCAGTTGTGGGACAGGCACCACCCAGGGCTTCTCAGACACATTGGGTGCCTTTGGGGCAGGG